TAAATTTAAAATAAATAAGTTTAATTTTGTATAAATAAAAATTTAGATAATCTAATGGCAACAATCAATATAAATTCATATAATATTTAAAAATATTACAAACATTTTTATGTATAAGGTATAAATATCTAGTAAAAATAAAAATTTAAGAATTTTTGAAAATAAAATTATCATAAAGCTATTTGCTTTGCCATCGCTACTCATAATCATTTTACTACACTTAAATAAATATACGAAAATATAAGTATAATAAGATGTGTACTTTAAAAAAAAGTTTATTTTTTATATAATCTTACTTATCAAAATAATATGAAGAAATAATTTGCTACATATATATCTATAAATAAATAATTTTACAGTAGACCTCTAGTAATATTTTATTTTACAAAATATATGTATTAAAAATGATTTTAAATTAACCAACAAAGATTTATTAAACAATTCATTTATAAAATGAACATTTTGTAAATAAAAATATNACAATTCATTTATAAAATGAACATTTTGTAAATAAAAATACTTTAAATTAGTTTTACTACAAGTTTCCAAACAAAATAAATTGAAATTTCGAATAATTTTATTACAGCTAAATATTAAAATATGTTTCACGGGATTATTTCTCCGTATTTTAATGAATATTTACGTTTCAATTTTAATACTACTGAACGTACCAATATATTTTTTTTCAAAATATAACTCTCCATATTTATAAGATCCACAATTTTTTGTTCCGTCTAATATACGGATTTTTACACTTTGTGAACACAACACTTCAGGTTTATCAAAGTATCGTTTTTTCCCGTTGACAAACAAACAAATGCCTTCCGCTACAATGATAAAAGATTTTGACTGCATTTTTAAGGGTTTCTTTTTTGTAATACACTTCTTTTGTGGCTTAAAATTATCTAAAGACTCTATTTTAAGTATATCGTATTCAATTAGACTTGGCAGCTCTCTTGGTAACGTAATCATCACTCTTTAATATATATATGATATAACCATACTGTGTGCTTGTTTCAATGTCTCCATATTATCAAACGATTCACTTACACGACATTCATACTTTGCAATGAGGTATTGATAGAGTTTATATAAAACGACTAGAAATATGCTAAATGAATATCAAGATAGAAGGCAAAGCTGAATTGAACCTATCAAAAAATCCTTCCAGTTTTTTATCATCTTTTCGTAAAAGTACGCAATTTTATTTATTAATCGTAGAACTGACGATTTAATTTGAATAACATAAATTAACACGACTAATTATCGGTTTAAAGCTATGGAAACCAATTTTATTGTATTGTTAAAATATATATTTACTGTATTATATTAATATTAATATATTATATATATTGATATGTTTAATCATAAAAAATAGCAATTTTTTTACAAAACTCAACTTTTGAAAATGTTCCTGAAATACTGCGTCTTTTAAACATATGAAAATTAAATCTTATTTTACGTACTGTAATTTAAAACAGTAAAATTTGTTCCGACGAATTATCTTCTACATGCAAATGGCTGCCGATGTTGAAAACATGTTATTTATGTGTTAAAATTATCCATTTTCGATTAAATACTTCCAACTTTAAATGCTATAACTTTTCGAAAAATGTATAGAACAACACAAATTTTTGTTTCTAAATACATTATATTATACATTATATATACCCCTTTTATCCAAATTAATTTTTTTTTAAATCTAGAAATTTCCCCTTATACAGGGGGCGTTCAAACTTCAATCATACATGTAAAAAGTATACTTAACTTTTGAAAATGTTTCGGAAATACTGTGTCCTTTAAATATATGTCAAATTAAAGCTTACATTATGCACTATAAGTTAAAAAAAAAATTTGTCCTGTCGACCTATCTTCAATGTGGAAATGGCTCCTAAAATTGAACAAAAAATATAATATTTGTGTTATAAATCAATGTTATTTTGGTACGTAAAACTGCCATAACTTTTTGATAAGAAGTATGTACAATGTTCGAACGTCATTCATCAAACTAATTTTTATTTGCATTTTTTCATAATTCTTTTTTGAGGTGAAAAAAAAAGTTCAAAGCTCGTTTGATTTTTATCTTATTTAAATTGAACGACTTCAATAAATATCATAGATCCTATCACTGTAGTCTCCCCTCTTGAAGAAAAATTTTTTATTCATATCAAAATATTTTAGTATGTAGTTTTTTTTTTTTAGTAACCCATTTGTACGTATTAGCCATTCTTTTAATCTTGTTGAACTTATAATCACCAAATATGGAAAAAATTCCTATAATTTNACTGTTCAATGAAACCACCAAATATGGAAAAAATTCCTATAATTTTATAAATTCAATAAAAATATCCACTTCAAAAAAAAACTGTTTTTAATTAAATATCCCCAAATTAATAAGAGCATAAAATTTTTATACTGATTACACAGAAATATCATTTTAATAAAATAAAATATTTTTTAATGATTATAGACCAATATATACTTTACTTAACCAAAATTTTTACGCTGATTTCAAATCATAAATTAGATTTTTTCGCCCCTGTTTTTAGATTACTGCTAATTAGAAACTCATGAAAAAATTAATTAAAAAAAAATTTTTTTTCAAGTTATTATTGATTTTTAATATGTTAAAAATAATCCGTTCAATATTTTAATTCAAAATAATCTTTATATCTAATTTTTTTGATTCTTTGAATTTTATTTTTATGAAAGTATATAATTTGAACATTTTGAACTTTTAAACACTATTTTAGCTCAACTTGCAAGTTTAGAATTTATATAATTAAATAGAAAATTTTATGAGAAATAAAAAATTAATTTTTTAGATTGACATGTGATCAGGAACTTATATAATTACTATTAACAGTAAATTTATAAGGAAAACTCGAAATTTCGTTAAAATCACATTTTCTTTGTATTTTATTGTAATAAATCATTCATATAGAAGTCAAAGTAATTAATAGTCTTAGTAATTATTGGTATACAAATAGATGCTACAATTGAAATATTAAGAGCTATATTTCGTATATGTATATCCTATCGTATCCTAGTTTAAACTATTATTTCGTTCGCTGTTGTGTTTTTGAATTTCATTTTAACCTANATTTCGTTCGCTGTTGTATTTTTGAATTTCATTTTAACCTATATTTGTTTTATATGTTAATACTCGTTTTTAACTAATTATTAATATTATCAAAAATTATTGGTGATGGAAAAAATCTAATTACAGATTTGAAATTAGCACGAAAAATTGAATAATAAAAGTATATTTTTTACTCAAATGAAAATTTTTTGCAGACTATTTATTTATAATTAACAACAAATTATTATCTAAAAAGTTTTGTGCCAAGCTCTACAATTTTTATACACGTTTTCTATTAAAGTAATAACTTCTTTANTACGAAAAATTGAATAATAAAAGTATATTTTTTACTCAAATGAAAATTTTTTGCAGACCATTTATTCATAATTAACAACAAATTATTATCTAAAAAGTTTTTTGCCAAGCCCTACAATTTTTATACACGTTTTCTATTAAAGTAATAACTTCTTTATAATTTTTTATACATTTTCCGAAAAAATTACATCACTATATTATTAAATATCAATTTCATCTTCTTCTTCCTCTCCTTAATCCCAACTACTTGAGATAAATAATAAATTATACTTATAAATCATCTTCTAATTAGAAATAATGATAGAAATAAGAGTTAATTTTGCTTTTAGAATAATCAACTAATTTCTTAAAATTAAAGACTATCTACAGATTTGCATCGAAGCGTTTCTTATAATAGTGACTTTAATCACTGTCAGATATCATCTATAGTTGTCTTATCTATGCCAAGAAATGTTATCAGGTAAGATTTAAAAATCAATAAGAGTCTATATATATATGTTATTTTATGATCCTCAAATCCCAACCCGAATTAAAAAAACTCTCAATTTTATCATCACCACTCTTTTAGCTTCAATGCGAAGCTGAAAAGGTATTAAAGGTATTATGGTGTGTTTTTTTTTGCTGTTACCACTTTTTTCAGCTTTCACCGACCCGATTTCTTTTAACGATACGTCAAAAGATTACAAATTGTTTCTATACAATGATATTACCCTCAAAAATTGAAAAAATTTTCCTTGCTCCCCGTAAATGGAGGAAATCTCAAAAAAAATTACAAATTTAAAATCGTTCATTTTCGAAATTTTTTCTTTTTTTTTTACTTAAAACTATCATAACTTTATCAAAAATAACCAATCAATATAATTTTTTTTATAGATACAAAATGTCTTTACCTATCATTTGGTATATTCTTTCTTATAAATCTAACCATTTACCTGCCAACAGGGGGGAGGTTCAAAATGACAACTTTCTCACAAAAATTTAACTTTTGAAAGTGTACCGGAAATACTGACACTTTTTATATACCTTAAATTAATGATAATATAATATACTTTAATATGGAAAAAAAAAATTTCGGAATTTAATTTGTCTTCACGGTGAAAACGACTACCGTATACTATTTTTGTGTTAAAATTCTTGATTTAATATTTTACATTTTTAACTTTATAATACTATAACTTTTTAAAAAATGTATAGATCAATACAATTTTTTTATAATAAATACTATTTATGTATAACTTTCATTTGACATACTTTTTTTTAAATCGGACCATTTTCCATTATGCGGTGGAGGGGGGGGGGTTAAAAACTTAAAAGTGCATATAGAAAGTAGAACATTTTCTACTTAATTTTCGAAAGTGTTTCATAAATACTGACACTTTTATATTTATTATTTGATTCATATAGCTTGCACTTTTTACTTCGAATTTTTAAATGATACTGCTAAGTTATTTATTTTCGAAAATTTATTAAACTTAATAAAATTTATAAATTAAGTAACGCAAAGGTTAAACTGTGTGGTAAGTGCAATAATATAGCTAATTTAACATAAAACACATCGTTATTTCAATTGTTTATTTATTTCACAACAATAGTTTATATATAAAAAAACAAATGTTAGTATAAAATGTATAAATTATCTAATTAGTATTGTCTTATAATTCTTTTAATAAGTCACATAATTGAATAAAAATATCTAACAGTTCATATAATACAATACAAAAAATTAACAATATTATTAGGATGTGATAAAAAAAGTTTCAAATATAGCTCATAAATTGTTGGAACTACTTATATAGCCTTTAATTCTAAAATACAATAGGCATCTTTATTTTGATGTCGTTTCAATGTGTTCTGACTAGATACTAAATATCATAACGTGTAAATAAAATTTACATTATGCATGATTATTACAAATATAAAAATTAATTTGATAAGGATTTATACTATAATAATAAATTATAAAAACTATATTTACTTAAATATTATAGTACAGTTAATGATATTTTAGATTTTAAATGAAAAATTATGACAGTAAATCTACTGAAATTTATTGGTAACGGATGATCAAAAGTAATCTATTTTTTTTTTGTGTCGGTAATATTATTTTTATTGTTTGATAATGAGACTAATAATTAAGCCTTTTTTGTTATAGAATCAAATTTTAAATAAGAGACCGAATGATTTTTGATTTAATTTCTAAAATGTTTTTTTAATAAAAATTATTATATACCTAATCATAATTTGTATAATAAATATTATGAAACATTTCTTATGAATATTAAAAAGTCTTAAATATTTTTGATAATTTGTCAATAGATTTATTTATTACTTTTATAAACTCTATTCATTATTTGAAGGTTTTTTTGACTAGAGGTTTTGGTTTAACACCATCGACTAAATCTTTTGCTGTACTTGATGCTGTAGGTCTCATGAATCCTAATGTTTTAGAACTGGCCGTGGTTGAAAAATTTGTACCTCTACTTTGATTTTCTTTAAAGCTATTACTTTGAAAAGTTTTAGGCTTTGGTTTATTAACAGCGATTGCAATACTACCACTATTGCTTCTGCTTGCAATAGGGTTCCGACTATTATTACTATTATAAGGTTGTAAAGCACTTAGTGGTTTTTTAGCCTTTAAATCTGTAGTTAAATCATTAATTGCTTTGGTGTACGTTGATATTCCTGGAATTTTTTTCACTGTACTGGCAGAATTAATACTATTTAAAGAACTTCTAGAACTACGTAAGCTACTCTTAGAACTTGACCTTTCAACAGATTTTGGTTCACTTTCTGTTCTAGTTAAACCAGGTCTACTAGATATTGAAGATGATTTTACCAAAGGTCTAGCTAACGAAGAAGACGGTGTTCTTTTCATAACTAACGGTCGTTGCATTACCATAGGTGTTCTAAAACTACTTGTTCGTTTTGGAGTTTCTGAAGTTTTTATCGCAACTATAGGTTTGGTTGATGTTCTCAAAGAATTCGTTTTTCTTAAATTTGGTGTAGCAGGTAGTCCACTACTACTATTAGTATCATTACTCTCGCTGCTATCTGCTCTAGTGATAGTTTTTGGAGGTATCGATTTTTCAGATTCAAAATTACCAGATGAAGCTTCCGCACTTAATGATTCAGCTGACATTAAACTAACTGATTCTTCAAAACTATGCAAAAAAAAAAAATAAAACATAATTATGTTAATATAAAACATGTTAATATAATAATTAGTATACATACCCTTCATCATTTAGATCATGTTCTGTTCTTATTGCAGTTTTTATGGGAGGAGTTAATGCTTGTACGCGAATCTCTGGAATGAATTCGCTATTTTTCATATCAATTCTAGACTCTCCATTATCCAATATATTTATCTTTGTTACCCTTCCTGATATTCGTGGTAGTTCTACAATATTTTTGTCCGTTGACTGTTGACCGTATATTTTAACAGCTTTCATGATATCACCGTGATCTACAACGCTATGATTTCTTGCAGTTCTAGGCATAGATGAATACATTCTAGTCCGAGAAAATTCTTTGGCATCATCAATGTTATTACTAGATTTATGTGCTAACTTATCTTTCCACGGGGTCTGCCGAACATTATTATCGCTTTCATTAAGAGGTCTAGGAGATTCAAATTCATCAAATTTACGACTTAATGAATCATCTTCAGCTGACTTTCTGTATCTACGAGTACGTCTTGCAGCAGAAAATCTATCAAATTGTCCATCACCAAGTGTTTCCTCTTCGCCTGGTTTAGAAATTGGAGGAATATTTTGTAGTTTAGCAATTTGTCGACGAGAGGTAGGTGGTGTTTCAATATTATCCGAATCTATATCAGCTCTATCAGCTATTTCTACAGTTCCAACAGAGTCTGATATTTTACGACGAGGAGAAAAAGGTGGCAATAACTTATCCTCTAAAGAATCTGG